GGGGGGGGGGGGGGGGCGACGCTGCCGCAATCACAGCAGGGTGTGTGATGGAACAGGGCTTTGTCGGAGCACAAGGGGACCGTCTTCCCTGCGGCCCATATCTACCATTCCTCCGCTTTGTCGCCGAGGCTAGCTTGGGCTGCGCGCCTCCTGCCCCTGCGGAGGACCTAGCTTCCCAGTACCGCTGTCCAGGAGACACACCACCGCGGGTAACTCAACCTTCGGGCTGTGGTCTCTACGGCGACGCACACAGTGGCTTAGAACACCCGGTGGCTCCAGCGCGCCCCCTGCCGGCGCGGCCTCGGGTAGAAGCAGCGGAGGGGGGCTGGACTGCGAACCCCTGGCGGGAGGCGCGGCTTCCGGGGTCTGCCCCGGAGGTGGAACTTCCGGCGGCCCGTGCGCAGACTCAGCTCCCCTTCGAAGCCAGCCCCCAGCATGTCCGAGCTCGCGGCCCGGGGCCGCCTGTGGCTGCAGAGCCCCGTCGGGGGGCCACCCCCCATTTTCCTGCCGGCCGGTGGTCAGGTCCTGCTCCTCGGTCGGGGACCCCTGACCCAGGTGACGGACCGGAAGTGCTCCCGAAACCAAGGTGGGCGGGCCCTGCGGTCCCCCGGGGTTCGGGAGGGGAGGTTGTGCGGGACCGTGAGCTGACCCGGCCTTAGGTGGTGCTGGGAGCCTTCGTCCCTGGGCCGGGGGAGGGTGCTCACGTCCCTGGGACGTCCCGGGTGGATCAGGGTGCACCCTCAGGACCGGCCCGAGACTAGGACTGGCCAGTTTGTCAAGCAGGCAGCCAACCCTACAGATGAAAAGCGTTTGTCCTGCGCTTAGGCGAGGATCCGGCACGGTGGTGACCCTAGGGATTTGGAGCCCATCCTGTTCAGAAATAAACTGCCTAGGGCCGGCCGAATGCCTGTCATCCCATTCTGCGGGTGGTAGAGGCTAGGGGATCAAACCAAAGCCAGCTTTGCGTACTTGGCGAGTTTCAGGCTAGCCTGCGTTACTTGAGGCCCCGACTCCGGAAACAAAATAAAGGAAGGAAAGGAGAAAGTGCTTCCTACATCCCCTGACATCTCCTGCGAGGGAAGCTGTGGTCTGGAGCCGACCACAGCCCCCGTTCTAGGTGCAAACCCTGAGTCCACCCCCTTCCCCTCAGTGGAGCTGGTTGCAGACCCTGAGACCCGGACCGTGGCGGTGAAACAGGTACCAGCACTTTAGCCGCGGGCTGCAAAGTCCTGGGGGAGGGGCCACAGGTCTGATAAGTGGCTTAAGGGTCTGACTGGGAGGTTCAGCAAAGTACCCTACTGGGTTTTTCCCTGGAGGGGTGGAGCCAGCCCTCGCCCCTCCCTCTTTCTCTGCAGCTGGGCGTTAACCCTTCGACCGCTGGGGCCCAGGAGTTGAAGCAAGGGTTGGAGGGCTCTCTAAGGGTGGGGGACACCCTGTATCTGGTCAATGGCCTCCACCCGCTGACCCTTCGCTGGGAAGAGACTAGCACGCCAGGATGCCAGTCAGATACTCCACCCGGTACCCCTCCGGTGACCCCAGAGGAGGAAGATGCTGAGCCTCAGAAAAAGCGAGTGCGGAAGTCACCCTCAGGCTGGGAGAATTTGGAGAAGTTGCTCGTGTTCACAGCACCTGGAGTGAAGGCCCAGAGCAAGGTCAGGACACCTGCTGCAGTCGGGGCACCCTTACTAAAATGTGCAGGCTCCAAACCTAGGCTGATCCCAGCCTCAGAGGGCTGGTGTCAGCTGGTGAGGAAGGTCAGAAGTGACAGCCACTGTCCTGGTTTGTGGTGACACAGGTGGCTGCCTTTGATCTGGATGGGACCCTCATCACCACACGCTCTGGGAAGGTCTTCCCCACCAGCCCCAGTGACTGGAGGTGAGGTGGTACACAGGAAGGGATTGGGCAAGTTTGGCGTTCTCTGGACCACACATCACCCACCACTTTCCAACTACCTTAGGATTTTGTACCCAGAGATTCCAAAGAAGCTCCAGGACCTGTATGCAGAGGGCTGCAAGGTGTGTGGGCTGAATGCATAGCAGTGCAGGAGACTCTGGGGGGAGATCAGAGTGCCTCTTCAGTGACCCTCTCTGTCCCCAGCTGGTGATCCTCACCAACCAGATGGGCATTGGGCGAGGGAAGCTGCCAGCAGTGGAATTCAAGGCCAAGGTGGAGGCTGTGCTGGAGAAGCTGGGGGTCCCCTTCCAGGTACAGCCAGATGGGGTCTGAAGGGCTACATGAGGGACAGATGCCCAAAGAGAATGTGCAGGGCATGGGGCAGGGGCCTTGGCTGGGGTAGTGCTGGCAGGAACTATCCTGACCTGACCACCATGGGGCACCTGTTCTGGGACTGGTGAGGTGTGGTGCATCCAGAGAGAACTGACAGGGCCTAAGGATGCTGTGACCCTGCCACCTCCACAGGTGCTGGTGGCCACCCATGCTGGCCTGAACCGAAAACCAGTGAGCGGCATGTGGGACTATCTGCAAGAGCAGGTGAACACGGTCCTGCCTCCTACCTGGCCTTCCAGTTCCCACCCCGCTGCCCTTGCCCTTTGTCCCAGCTGTCAGTCCCCGATGTGGACAGAGACCAGCACTCTCAAGCTCTGGAGGGCAGGGTAGCTGAGAAGTTGCTGTCTGTGCACTCCCTGTCGGGAGTTTGTTGCACAGGGGAGCAAAGACAGGCATCCAGGTGGCCACCGGAAATACCTAGGCTATGTAGGATGAGGCTGGGCAGGCTGGCCAGAGGTCTGAGCAGTGTTATGGAGGAGCCTGGAGGTTGACAGGGACGTGGAGTCAAGGAGGCAAAAGTGACCTACAGGCCACAGGCCCTGAGTTAGAGGAACCTGTACCAGGTTGAGGGAAGCAGGGGAGACCCTGATTGAGGCCACAGTCCCTGGGCAGAGATTGTGGGGTGGTCCCAGCTGACAGAGTACTGAGCACCAGGTACCCAGGTGTGTCGTCCCCTCCAGACCCTGCTGGCTCGTACTTAGAGGCAGGTGGTAAAAGACCTTGCCAATAAGGAATTTCTAATCATCTATCTCTGCAGGCCAACGAGGGCCTACCCATCTCCATTGGGGACAGCATCTTCGTGGGAGGTGAGGAGCCCTGAGTGCTGGGGGTGGCTGGTACTGAGACCCTCTGGGTGCTCAGTGGTGGACCGGGTGGTTACCTTGCCCATTCAGATGCAGCAGGACGCCCAGCCAACTGGGCCCCAGGAAGGAAGAAGAAAGATTTCTCCTGCGCAGACCGCCTGGTAAGCTTGTTCTTAGCATCTGCCCGTAGCCTCACACACCTGCGTTGCACAGCTGATCCTTCCTGACCCGTCCTGACCTCCCTCCTCAGTTTGCCCTGAACCTCGGCCTGCCCTTCGCCACTCCAGAAGAATTCTTCCTTAAGTGGCCGGCAGCCAGCTTCGAACTCCCAGTCTTCGACCCAGTGAGGCCCACGAGGAAAGGGAGGGGCCCCTGGATGTTGTCAGTCCCACACCCCCTGACCCCCTTCCCCCTTCCAGAGGACCATCTCGCAAGCTGGGCCCCTCTGCCTCCCGGAATCCAGCTCCCTCCTCAGCTCCAACCCCGAGGTGGTGGTCGCCGTGGGATTCCCTGGGGGTGAGATGCGCTAGCCCCACCTGCAGCTGCCCCAACCCCTGGGGTCCTGGGCACCTCCTGATGACCACACCGTCCCCACAGCCGGCAAGTCCACCTTCCTCCAGGATCACCTGGTGTCAGCCGGATACGTCCACATCAACAGGGTAAGCAGGGCGCCTCAGTCTCCCGCGCCCCCCGACCCCCTGGCTCTGCAGCCCTATGCCTGACCTGCCCCGGGTCCCACAGGACACCTTGGGCTCCTGGCAGCGCTGTGTGAGCTCTTGCGAGGCTGCGCTGAAACAGGGGAAGCGGGTTGCCATTGACAACACCAACCCCGACGTCCCCAGCAGGGCCAGGTACTGGGTGCGCGAGTATGGGTGGGGGTGCTGGGCCCCGGGGGGCGGGGGGGCGCGAGGGACCCATGGCAGCCTGGCCTCTGCCGGCAGGTACATCCAGTGCGCCCTAGCCGCTGGCGTACCCTGTCGCTGCTTCCTTTTCTGCGCCACGCTGGAGCAGGCACGCCATAACATCCGGGTGAGCGCCTAGCTCCGCCTCCCCGCCCCCGCCCCCCGGGCCCCGCCCCCTCGCCTGACAGTTGTCCCTGGCTGTCTGCAGTTCCGAGAGATGACTGACTCCTCGCACGCGCCAGTGCCGGACATGGTCATGTTCAGCTACAGGTGCCCGCCCGGGGGGGGGGGGGGGCGGCCGGAGATTTTCCATCTTTTCCCCCCGCCTCACCCCTCTCCTGGGCCGCAGGAAGCAGTTTGAGCCACCTACACAGGCCGAAGGCTTCACCGAGATCCTGCAGATCCCGTTCCGGCCTCGGGTGCAGCCGGCGCTTCAGCGGCTGTACTGCCAGTTTTCAGAGGGCTGAGCCCGCCAATAAACCTGCTGCTCCCAGGCCTGGCTTGCTGGGGGGGCAGACCCATGGGACCGAGCGTGGGCTGGGAGGGGACCACGTGCTCCAGAGTTGCCAACAGCTTGGCCCAAGGTGCCACGTAGGACAGAACCTGGGGCTCAGGTGTGGGGCACGGGGAAGCAGGGCAGGGCGGAGCAGCCTGTGGGGTGCCGCTGGCCACAGCTCAGGCTGCAGCAGCTCCTGAGGCAGGCCGCACCACTCCTGCCTTCTACCCACGTAGTGGTGTGCAGCCCCCTAGACGCCAGGACCCAGGCCAGGAGGGCTCTGCACTGGGAGCTGCACATGACTGCACTGCAGGACATTGACCTGCAGGCTGGAAAATAAGCGGGGCAGCACGTGGGGTAAAAGGCTTTATTAGGGAAAGATAAGGGGCAAGAAGAACATCCTTGGAGACTGCAGGACGCTGTCCTCCATGGTGCTGGGCAGGTGCAGGCCCCAGGTGCCCCTCAGAAGCATCTGACCTGGGGGGCAGGGATGCCGTGGGAGGGGCCAGCACAAAGTCCCCTCCACCAGAGACAGGATTTGGGGGAAGGGCATCCTAGTCTCGTGCTGTCACGCAGGTGGTGTCTTTCTTTCAAATGGTCTTCCTGGGGCCTGCGCCACCCTGCTGCCGCCCTCCACCACCACTCACCAGTCTCCAGCGGGCCTTGTCCGGGACTGTGACTGGCCCAGCATGGGGCACTGCTAGCCGCCCATCTGCAGAGAAGCCGAGGGAGGGTCACCTTTGGGGCAGGGGCAGGGGCAGGGGCGAACGCACAGGAGGCGGCCTCACCCCTCGCTGCTGCTGCTCCTGCTCCAGGCTGCGCTGCAGCACTTGCTGCTGGTTGGCGATGACACGACGGATGCCATTGACAAAGTTGCTCTGGTCGTGTGGGATGAGGCCAATGAAGATCTTCTTCTCAGAGGAGTAAAGCAGCATGAGCACACGCACCTCACACGAGGCCTTGTAGGAGAAGTGAACGCAGCCAGCCTGGGGAAGGCATGGGTCAGGACCTGGGGTGCACAGCAGGAGCTGCCTGATCCAGACCCCAAAAGCTCCCAAACACCCAAGGGCAGAGTGGCATGCGCCTCCCCCACTCCTACTTCCCATAGCCATCCTTCGGCACCTTAAAGGTCCTGTTCAGGGGTGGCCAGGTCAAGGGGAAACTGAAGGCCAGCCACACAGGCTGAGGGGTAGCAAGGACTAGGGGGGAGCTCTGAGAAACTCTGCACTGGACAGCCTGGTGCTAAGGAGGGAACCCATGGCATCACCCACACAACCTGGCAAGGTGCTGCCCTGTCCTGAGTGACAAGCCTGGATCCATCTGAGGCTGCAGGGCAGGGTATGGGGGTGGGGTGGGAAGCCCTGGGGCAGGCTGAGGCCCAAGTCCCTCACTGAGACCCCAGCTCCTCGAGCCCCTCCCACCACATCTGCCACTCACAAAGCCATTGTCCATGATTCGGCACAGGCTCTTGAGCGTTTCCATGTCCTTGGTGAAGTGGAACTGCACCAGGCGTGAGTTCCGGAACAACGGTACCAGAGTAGTCTGTGGGAGGGCCGAGGGCTCAGCGCCAACCCACCAAAGCCCCCCTTCCCAGGAAAGCCCTGAAGATCATCTTCCCTTGTGCAGTGCTGGTCCCCCAACCACCCCATGCCCGTGGACCTCACCAGCAACTGCTGTGGGATAAGCTGCATGTAGAGCCTCCGAGGCCACTGCTCTGTCCTCCTACAACACCAGACAGCCGGTGGGCCAGGTCCTCCCCAGGCACCCCCACTTTCTGCCCCACCCTCCTTCCCCAGCACTCACAGGATCTCCCCTTGGTTCACGTAGACGTGGGACGGCAGCCACCGTTTGGACCGGGTGTGGGGCTCAGGCCTAGGCTTTAGGGCAGAGCAAGATGGCGGTTCAGGTACAGGGGCAGGGGGCCAGCAGCCCACACAGCCCCCACTGCTCACCTCTTGCCATTCCATGACTCCACTCCACGCCAGGAACTTGTTATTGACAATCTGGACAGGCCCGGAGTGGACACCTCCAGGTCCCACAGCCTGTGGGGTCGGGGTAGGGACCCCTCCATCATTGGACAGACAGTGGTCACCCTCTAGAGCCTTGCTCATTCCTCCCACCCGGCCTCCTCTGCCAGAACCCGCCCTGGAAACCCAGGAAGCCACTTCTCAGCTCAGGCTGGATGAGCTGCTTCCTCCCAGCTCCTCACTCACTGCTGCCATCAAGTCACACTCATCCATAGGGGTGCCCCACTGGCACACCTGTTTACGGGTGGTGATGACCTGCCGAATGGCATTGACAAAGCCACTCTGGTCGTAGGGAATGAGGCCCATGAAGATCTTCTTCTTGGATGAATACAGGAGCATGAGCACACGCACCTCACACGGGGAGATGTGGGGGAACAGCATGCAGCCCGCCTGTGGACAGGGCTGTGCTTAGAGGCCTGGCCTGCCATGCTCAAAACCAGCCCAGCCACGGCCACTCCAGGCTCTCCCAACCGCAGGCGACTCACTGTTCAGCACCACCTCAGCCCCACTGGCTGGAGCACAGGCACATATGGGGCAGAGGCCCTGCTAGGCTGTCCCCCTCCTTCCCCTCAGGACCCCAGGGGGCTGCTGGGTTAGGAGCAGATAACAGGGCAGGCCAAAGCCCAGCTCTGTTGTCTTAGCTAACCCAAGGCAAGCCACTACCTCCCAGCTTGAGGCCTCAGTTTCCCCTTCTGTAAGGAGAGGTAACAGCACATAGTGACTGCCACTGTAGTGCTCACAGTGGCCGGCGCACCTACCTGCAGACCACCCCACCCCATACCCTACTGGCCATCCTGGGAGACACCACCCACAGTGCTGTCAGCCTAGCTTTCCAGGCCCTGGGGCTCAGGCAAGGGGAGCCGCCTGTACAAGGTCTTGGTGACCCATCACCCATGGAGGTGGCCAAGGGGGAAAGCCAGGATGAGCCTTGAGTCCAGTCCTCAACATCCTTAACTCCCGGCTTTGCCATAGGCTCACAGGGACTGATCTCCCACCACACACAGACCCACACTGTGCTCAGGTGACCATGGCGGGGTGTGGGGGGGGTGTCAGTCAGAGACTCACAAAGCCATTGCCCATGATGCGACAGAGGCCCTTGAGCGAGTCACAGTCTCTGTTGGTGAAGTGGAACTGGGCCAGCTGGGAGTTCCGGAACAGGGGGCCCAGTGTGGTCTGGGGAAGACAAGGGGCAGCTAGCTGATCAGTGGGACAGAGATGGGCCACGGTGGGGCACTGCTCCAGGGGTGGGCCGGGGTTCTCACCAGCAGCTGCTGTGGGATGAGCTGCATGATCAGCTTCTGGGGCCACTGGTCGGTCTCTCTAGAGGGTGGAAGAGGAGCCCAACTCAGGAGCCCCACGGTGAAGCTTGGCACCCCAGGGCACCCCTCCCACCCTAAATAAGGAGCCCTGTGGAGTGTGGCACCCCAGGGCACCCCTCCCACACTCACAAGTTCTCGCCCTGGTTCACATAGGCCTGGCAGGGCAGAGTGCGCTTCAGCTTGGCCGTGGAGTCAGAGTAAGGTCTGCGCTTCTGTGGGTGGGAAGGAGCCGCGAGGGCTCAGCCAGGGGTCCAGGGGGCCCCAGGCTGTGCACACCCCGAGGCCCCGGCCCTGGGATCCAGGCTCACCTCCTGCCACTCCAGCACACCGCTCCAGGCCAGCAGCTTGTTGCTGAGCCGGTGCTCATTCACTGCCAGCCCCCCGAGGGAGAGCCCTGGTGAGGAGGGCCCAATGGGCCCCAGGGCCCCAAAGACCCGAGCTCCTTCCTGTGGCAGAGGGAGAACGCTGAGGGCACGAGGCCGGGCACACACCCTGGTGGAAACCAGACCCTAACCCTTCCTGAGAAATCAGGGCAAGTGGCCCACTGGGCCCTGGTCCCAGAGGCGCCATCACCGCATTTCCACCTGACCAAGTCACCAAGCCCAATATGGGGCAGCTGTACACCCCCAAAACCAAACTCGAGCTCCACCTTCCCTGGGAATCAAGACACGGCCTTCCCTAGGAACCAATACAGGACCCTTCAAGAAACAGGGAGACGCAAGGAAACACGGGGGTCCTGAACCGAAATTGGAACGCACTGCCCCAGGCGGGGTAAACTCTCAAAGAGGCGTCAAACAAGCCAGCTGCACCCGCCTGACCAGACAGCAGCCCGGCAACCCGGCTTCCAGGCCGGAAACCTCGGATTCCCACGGCTCCTTCCACCTTCTAAGTCCAAGAGGCCTTCCTCCATTCCGCGCCCCAGGAGATATGCAGGAGTTTTCGCTCCCGTGGGGGCTTGAACACCCGCGCACCCGGCAGTGCGGAATTGGAGTCCAGGGTCTACACACACCTGGCAGAGGTGGTTGAACACGCACAGCTGCCCAACCTTCGAGTACAGGACATGTGCACTTTGCTAGGCAGATGAGCTCCCTGAGGGTCAGGCAGATGCTGGAGGGGGTTGGGGGGTAGGGGGGTACACTGGGACTCCTATAAAGGCCTGGACCTGTGCTTGCCTCAGAGCCCACACACACCTGTACCCAGAGCATCAGGAGGGATACACCAAGAGGAGGGGGAGCACGACAGGAGGGAGCACACCACTAGAAGTATACGGGGAGAGGGGACACCAGAAGGAGGGGGACACACCAGGAAGGAGCACACCCCGAGGAGGAGCACACCGTGGGGTAAACAGGGAAGAGGAAGACACACCAAGGGGGAGCACACCAGGAGGGGGAGCACGGTTAGGGGCTGCACTCAAGGACGCTCCCTTGGAAGCAGCTCCAGACAATCTGGCCTTGTTGCGCCCAGCACAGCGAAGCCAGCCACTCCTGCAGGTGAGTCTGGCGCTCGGGATACGCGTCTAGAGACCCAGAGAGCACCCCTAAACGACTACCAGGAACCGAGGATTCGTCGCACCGAGGGGTGTGTCCGCACCTCTATGGCTGGGCGACCAGGCCTCGACTGCCTCGAGGGCACCCCTGTCACAGAGTACTGGAGAAGGGGTCAGAGCCAACCCCGGGGGACGGTGCCCAACCGGGCAAGCATGCGCACAGTGTGGCTGCGCGGCGGCCATCACCAGGGAGCGTCCTGCAGCCCCAAGAAACTCCGGGTCTCTGGAAAGTGCGTGCGTGTCTGGAGGACTGACACGTTCGCGCAGCTTGGCCGCTGGGTGAATGTTTACCCCGAGGTCTGGGCGTACGGCGAGGCGGCCAACGACCTGGCCCAGGACAACGCCCCCGCGAGCAACAGCTGGGCGCGCGAGAACCGCCCCGCCCCCGCGCCTTTCCACGTCCCCAGCGCGGCCCAACTTTGCCACTGCAAAACACGCCAGCGCGCCCCCTACGCCCCCCGCACAACAAAGGGGAGCCGGCCACCCCGCCGCTCCGGCCCGCGGGCGCGGACAAAGGCGCACAGGGGGAGGGGCGCGGGCGGGGCTGGAAGGCTCTGGAAGCTGCAAGGGGCTCACCATGGGCGGGGCGGAGCGGGCGCGGATCCGAGGCGGCTGCGGGCCGCGGGGGCCGGCGGGCCAGGAGCGGGAGCGCACCGTCCGCA